CCCCTGAACCCCCTAAACCCTAGACCCGAACCCTAAACCCTAAACCTTAAGCCCTAAACCCTAACATCAGAAGACACAACCCTTGCGCCCCAGGCCCTCGGACTCGAATCCATCCCAAATCTCTACGCCGCATTGCAAACCCCATAGATTCCAAATCCTACGCCTCATTTAACCAATCCCAAGCCCTAGATCTCTTAACTCCAATCCTCTAGATGCTACATCATGTTGAATCCTGAAAATGAATCCTAAGCCCTAAATCCTAAACTCACCTCAGACCAAGCCGCTAAAACCTACATGAATCTAAATCAGGGGCCTCTATGTAGCAAATGAAAGAAAAACACTTCTGGCTCTGACTGGAGAACGCCCAGCCTTCAGCCGCCTCCCACTGTCCAGCCGCGCAGCCAACCCGGATCCGGGTGGTCTGAGCTCGATCTCGAGGAGCTGGCAGCAAGGCTTCAGCGCAGCAAGAGGGGCCTTCACTAATTCACGAACATCAATTTGTAGGTACCAGTGTATACATATATATATATATCTGCACACAGACACACACAAACACACTTAGAGTGGGGCTTTGAAGGGCTATAGCTGTGCAACTTATACGTACCGTTACAATTCTCCGTTGCAGCTCCGGTTCAGCTCCGCCACAGCTCCGTTGCGTTTGCAGCTGCGCTAAAGCTCCGTGGCAGCTCCGTTACTCCTCCCTAGGCAGAGCCATTGCGCCACATCTTTAACATAACTTAAAGCCCGAGCATTCCAGTCGTTGAAACTTCCAAATGGTGTAGCGGAGGAGGTCCCACCTACTCCAAAACCTGCAACGGAAAGGGCCCCAAAAACACGGCATAGCGGGGGTGTCCCAACATGATCGGGCTTAGACCCCACGCCACGTTATTAACCCATGGTTTTAAACAAAAGCCAACAGCCGAGAACAACTCGCGGATGCTGGCTTTCTGGGTTGCAGCTTCAGGGTGTGCCTCCTTAAAGGTGTGAGAAAAACTCGTGCGGTTGACTCTGCACCTGTGTAGGATTTTGTGGGGCTTGTCGTCTATGCTTTACCTGGGATTCGGGGCCCTGCTGTGGGCTGGCGAGCACGTGGCGAGGGAACTCCTTGGCTTCAGTCGTTCTTTCTGCATGTGATGCTCACTCAGAGGTTGAACACTTTTTGTGCTGCGAGGTTTAGGCAGCAGACGGCAGCAGGACTCTGGGTGAAAAAGGACTCACATTGCTCAGCACAGCTGCCTCGACTGTCACCAATCTGCAAGCAACTAACGCAGAAACAACTCTGACAACCAAACCACACTCAAACAGATATCAATCCTCACCGAAGCGCCAACATGCCGATCACACCTAGAGGGAGGGCTTCGGCACCTCCCTTGGGGAGAAACGTTCTCGTGCATGCCACCGGTCCGGTTCCTACTGGTACTAGTCAAGTGCAACTGGCTGAGGTTGAGAGCATCATGCCCTCTCCAAGCCGATGGTCGTCCCGTCTTGTGGGGGCATGAAGCCTAGAGCCTCTTCACCGCAGTTCTTCCCACGAACTTTCCGAGCTGGCATCTTTGAAGCAGAGAAGCTAGACAGCCATCTACTCATCATCGTAAGTTTCACGGCCCAAGTCAGGCCAAATCCCCCCCACACGCCATGGGAGAGATTCCACAACCCGGGTTGCTCAACCACGTCAACCATGACCCCTGCAAGGCATACCCAGAACAGAGCGTAAACGAGGCCGCACAAGAAAGCAATGCAATCCATCATCTGCAACTCTCTGTTCATGTTTGCGATGTCGTGCTCTGACAGGAACTTCTTCAGGGAATCTGGCACCTCGTAGATGGGCCCAGCACAACTACAGCAGCCCCGCTGCAACACAACGACCATCTCTTCCGGTGCAGGGGGCGGGAGGTTTCCCATAATTGATGCTGGAGGTTGGTCAGAAATGGAAGACGGCGACTGAGTCTTGAACCGGAGCCAAAGGTTCAGAAATGGGAGTTTCCGAAAA